ATATGAAATCTCCTCCTTTCTCCTTGATGTTCTACACCCCTTCACATGGGAGATAAACAGCCTATTTTGCACCCATTTTCTTTAGAATCTGTTGCCATGAACATTATCCATGTGTATGTTATTAAGTTTGGTTTTTTTTTCCCCTACTAATCTAGAGAATGTTTGTGTGTTCATCCAGCTTCAGAAAAGCCCAGGAGAGTGAGGAAGAGGGTTCCCCTGCACCCTGACATATATATACCTCATAGATGCATATGTGTGTGTGCATATATATCAACACACATAAGCATAATAGGTACCCACTGCAGAGAGCAACGGGAGCACAGGAAGTGGGAAAGTAAGCTCAAGTCAGGCAAGGCTGCCGAGAGGTGACACGTGCTATCAGTCCCTAAGAGTGAGTGAGTGAGAAAGCGGTGGGAAAGCAGGAGAAGGCTGATTTAAACTGAAGTTCCAGCACAAGCAGAAGCATGAGGAGAGGAAGTATCAGCATTCTGTAGTGCCCAGGGTGCACCTGGAAAGATGGATTGAGGGGCAGGCAGGAACTGAGTCACACAGGTCCAAACTAGTGAATCTGGATCTTGCCCGTGGAGAATACAGGGCTATGGAAATAGTTTGAGCAGGAGCCTGCAATGAACATTTTGGCACTTTCTAAATCAGCCACTTTCTTGATTGCCAGTGATAATCTCCTTGTAGTCAAGAACCCATGGTCCTGTAAGGTGCTGAAGCAAACTCTAAAAAAAATTCTGTTCAGTGTCATGCAATTCTAACACCATGTATATTTATTTATCCTAATTCTTTATTTTTTAAGATTTATTTATTTGTGTTTACAGAGCTGGGGTACAGGCCAGAGGTGCAGTGGTGGTGAGAGGATTCATCAGAAACAGAGTGGGGAGCAAAATAGGCAGGTTGACAAAGTACACTGCTGAGGGGAGCAGTGAGCGGGTCAGGAGGAGTCTGCCATGCACGTGACGTGGGTGACCTCCCGGCTGGGGATCGAAGTCATGCCGAAGCGGCTGCAGATAGCTTCATAGTTATACGCTTTAACCCATGTGCCACCAGGGAGGGTCCAATATTTATCCTAATTCCTAGGAAGTGATCAGTCTTTTGTGGGAAGAATCTATGCTTTTCTCTTTTATCTCTGAGGGTGCCTGGAATAGAATCTGGGCTCATTCAATTTGTCCAACAAAGTGATGAAGTCATATAATCTGAGCACATTGCATATGGTGACTTGTGGTTACTTAAGACAATAAACTGGAATATTCTGATGGGAGACTGAAACAAGGGTGGGGACACAGACTTTATTCTAGCCAGATATGCCCTTAAATGTATTGATTAGGCCTTAGACTTTGATGTAATGGAAGGCTGTTTATTTTTATTACAAAAACAATTAGAAAGATGTTGCATTCAGGCCACAAAATGGTAGAGGTCTATTTCTGACTTCAAGTAAAGCAATGAAAATCCAGCAACTTTATCCCTTTCATTTGCAAGAGGAAAGGGAAAAGAAAGAACCTGGTGAATCTCATGGAGAAAAATTCTGAGGAGCTCCTGGGGAACATGAATATTACAAGAGTATTCTCTAGATAAAGAGGGTCTTCGAACACTTATTTATTGAAGTTCTGCCATATTTGAGAGGCTAAGGTAGAATAGCGAACAAAACTGACAAACCTCTTGTTTTGTACCTCAGAAAGATAATACCGCATCAGGGAAGATCAGATGGATACAAATAAACACTAAGAATTATAAACTAGAAACTTGTGGTAAGTGCCCAGAGAGAAAAAAACAAGTCTTGATGCAAAGAAGGAAAAAGAGACCCACTTGAGGCTGAGTGGGACTCACAGCCAGGTCTCCAGAGAAAGAGCAAGAGAAAGGGGAGCAGAAGAAGCCAGGACAAGGAGATAGGGAGAGAGCTACAGGCCCAGGGAGCTCCTCCCCACACCCCACCCTCACCACACCCCACACCCCCACCCCCTCACCACACCACACACCCCCCTCACACACACACACACACACACACACACCACCCACACACACCACCCACCCCCGCCCTCAGGTAGAAATTGCTGAGTGAACTGAAGGAACAGAACCGAGGCAGCGAGACCATTAGCGAGGATGTGGACTGGGGCAGGGGGGACCAGTTGGGGTGCAAGGCGAGGCCAGAGGCAGAGACCAATTAGGATAGTAGGAAAAAGGTTGGGAGTCCTGAGAGCCCAAACACTCCCCAAGTCCCAGTGGCATGAATCCCAGGGAAGAATCTCAGCCCGGTGATAGGTCCGTCACACAGGTAGTAAAGGCACCCAAGGGATCCCTGGCCAAGTCCGCGGTTGGCAGGGGCAGGAGACTGGGGTGGACACAGAGCAACCGAGAGACAAGTCCAGAAGAGATGCTGACCTGACTTGAACTCAGACTGCCAACCTGACCCTGACAGTCAGTGGCCTAGATCGTGGAATGATGACGACAGATCTCACCCAGCAGAGGTTTATGGTTTGCAGACCAGCGCCTGAGCTGCGCAGGGAGGGTGTTCACTGCTGCTCACGGTTGGGAAGAAAGGAGTTTTCCAAAGACTAGGAAGAGGGGCTCTATCAGGTGTCAGGCGGACAACGTTGGGGGTGGGGACGAGCCGTGAGGGCTTCCAGCAAGACGCGAGTTTCCGCCTGAGCAGTTGGGTGTGGGTGCGGATGCCACCCACAAAGAAAGGAACTGCGTTTCGGGGGGTGCACTTGTTGCGTGACTTGGGCGAGGAAGCCAGAATCCGCGCGCCCAGGGGGCGGAGCGAGAGGAGGAAGGAGAAGGTAGGAGCCAGGCTCGGGGAAGCTAGGTGAGGGCCGGGCAGAGCCGCGAGGAGACCCCGGGCTCCGGCGGGCGTCGCGGGGAGGTGGGGGAGCTCGAGTTCTGGGGCTGCTGCGCCAGAGGGAGTCGGGCTCGGCTGCGAGGGCCCCGAGACTGGAGGCGGCGAGGCCACCCCACGCCTGCAGGTGAGCCCGACAGACAACGAGGTAACACTGGGGACGGGGTGCAGGGGAGGAGGTGGGGGTGGCCGCATCTGTCCTCGGGGAACAGGGTAGTCCTGGGCTGCGCAGTCGGCCCCGAGGGCTCTCCCCACCCAACCCTCCCCTCCTGGTTTAGACCTGGCACCGATCCCGCAAAGGTGGGGGTCATTGGGGCGGGGAGAGAGGATCGCGCCTGCTGCCTCTGGCTGGGGATGGCGGCGGGTTACTGCGTGATGATTCCGGCCTTTCCAGAAAGTACTGTGACCTGCCCCTGCTGTCCTTCCCAGCACGCACCTTCACCCCTCAGTCTGCTTACTGCTCGCTTCCCCCTCCACTCGCCCTAGGTCAGCACTCGTACCCTCCTCTCCCAACAACCCTGAAGAAGCAGACCCATTCCAGGGCTGGGTGGAGTGATGGAAGCTGCCTCTGAAGTCAAGCACATCTAAGTAATATTTACTTAGATGTGGACTGATGGGTGGGAAGGAATCAGACCACCAGAGGTGAAATGGAGAATCTTTGTTTCCTGAATGGGGCAACAGCCAAACTCCTGACTAAGCAAATACAATCTAACTTGACCTTAGGTGAACAAAGACTTTCTGGGAGTCCTCCGGAAATATGAATTGTAGGGGGACTGTGACAGCTGCCCATTATGGCTCACACACTGTCAGTGTTCTGGATGCAGAGCCTCAGGCAACCCCTCAACATCCCTCACCTTCACCCCTCATCCTTGCAAGTCTCTCCAGGGTGCTGTGTCCACCAGCCCCATTTAAGAGGAGAGAAAACTGAGGCAAAACATATGAAGTCACACAAAGCACAAGGCTAGCATGGAGTCAGAATTTGAACTCCGATTCCAGGACTTCACTGTAAGGCACCATGCTGCCTCTACAAGAAGGTTTGACGCTTAAGATGAAACTTGGTTTTGACTCAAATGCCTGGCAGTTGAGCCAGGAACACACTAGTGCGTAAGATGTATGTTTTGCAAGGGAATCAGTAGTGTTCTTGAAGTTCAGGGTTGCATAGTCCAGTGGCCATTGGGTGGAAATGGGGATCTCATAGTCCACCTGGCATATGACCATCATTGGCTAATCATTCTCTCCTTCAGAAACACTCTCTCTCTGTATCTACTATTCCTTCACAGTCTTTTCCTTGTTCTGTTTGATTTTTTCTTTCTCTTAATCTCAATGTCTACATTCTCCAGTACCCTTCTCCACATTTTTTTTTATTCTAAAACAAACGTTCTTTGCTTTACCTGTCACGTCTATGACAGCAATTCCCAAATTTATCTCTCCAGTCAACCCCTAATCTGTAATGCCAGACCTAAGTAGTCAAATATTCTAACCACCACTGGCTAATTCCAGTGCATGCCCCACATGCACCCAAATCCAACATGTCCAACCCAGAATTTCTCATGTCTATCCTTGTTCCTTGGGCTTTGGTTGAGGTCTCTTCAGTTCCTTGCTTAGATGATTACAGCACCTTGCACACATGCTCCATCTGCTCTCCTCTGGCCTCTGAAAAATGCAGAAGTCTGGTTTCTTCAGATACCTCATTCCTTGGCATCTCTAGAGGAGACTTTTGCAGATTGTGTAACTGCTGATTTGTCTGCTTCCTTCTTTAGACTGTGAGTTCCTTTAGTACTGATTTTGTCTTATCCTTCTTTGTACTCCCTGACCTGGCACATAATAGATGCTCAGTAAGTATTTGTGTAGTTAATGACCTTGTAATGAATTGAAACTTGTTTAGAACATAATGTATAGGTTAAAATAACTATGCATAGTGTGACATTTTTATTCCACTCTAAATCTGAAATGACATCATTAGTGAATTCTTTTGTGTGTATTGGGGGAGGAACATTAGAAAGTAAGTTTGCAGGTGGCTGCAGATTAAGACTAATAACAAAATGAAAATAAGTTTTCCAAATAAATGAGCTGATTTTACCATGCATGTAATATTTAATTATTCCACAGTAACTGTCTTCTGCTTCCCCCAGACATTGAGTCCAGGAGTAAGCAGAGTCCCCTCGGCTGGAAGGGAAGCAAAGCCGAAGTCATCATGGCTTCAGTGTCTACTCACGGAAACCAAGATAAAGGCCCCCACCTGCCACCACCAAGCAAGCAGGTACATTTTTAATGTGGAGCCCTGCCACCTAGAAAGGACCATCATACAAGCCTTTCTTTACAGCTCATCTTGGTCATCTTTTTACAGTCTGACACTTTGTTGGATTAGTTCAGAGAAAAGAATGGGAAAGGATACTATTTTAGGGTATCTTGAAAAGGATCCCTCACAATTTTCATTTGCAAAAATGTTTCTTTATCCTTCCCTGTTTAGACTCCAACTTGACTCTTAAATAGGATGTCAGTGAGTAGAGTGGCGAAACGTCTTAGTTGAATTAAACAGAATGGTTTTTACATTTGCGTTACTGAGGCTGTTATAAGTATATGTTGTTGACCTATACTATTTACCTTAGTTTTTCTGCAATCTCTCCACCTCATGCTTAGTGAAAATATCTCTTCTTGCTCCTGGGTGTGGTTTTGACAGAAATAAGGGACATCTCCCACCCTTTTTTTAATTTGTTGGCCAAAAGTTAAGAGCAGCACTCTTAACTTTTGGCCAACAAATTAAAAATCCAGTTATTAGCATAGGTCCTGCTTTTCTGTTTGCTAAGTCAGCATTATGTGTTTCAGAGACAGATAAATGAAGAAAATATAAAATTATCCAAATAATATAATAAAAAATATCAAAATATAAAATACTATGATAAGTAAATGGCGTCCATGTTCTCTGGAATCAACTTTTTCTTTTTAAAAGATTTATTTATTTATGCATACAGAACTGGGGTACAGGCCAAAGGCAGTGAGAGGATTCACCAGAGACAGAGTGTGGAGCAGAACAGGCCGATTGACGAAGTACACTGCTGAGGGGAGCAGCGGGCAAGTCAGGAGAGGTCTGCTGCAGCGTGTGGGTCAGCTCCAGGGTGGGGGATTGAACTCATGCTGCAGTGGCTTCGGAGAGCTTCATAATGCGGTGCGCCAGCAGGAGAGCCCTGGGATCAATTTTTTAAGATAAAAGTAGTTTATGGAGGAGGAGATATTTAAGAAGGAGAGTTTAAGAGCAACTAACAGAGAAATGATATCCAGTTACAAACAGAAGAGTTTTGGACATCTCAGTTGCTTCTGTGAAATGGAGAAGCATAAAACATTTATGGCTCCATAGAAAAGGACGAGACCTTGCAGGAGTTTCAACCTGAAGTAGTGATAGTCAGGGCCTTTGACCTGGCTTATTTTTGCAGGGAAAAAGGGTGGGAGATGTCCCTTATTTCTGTCAAAACCACACCCAGGAGCAAGAAGAGATATTTTCACTAAGCATGAGGTGGAGAGATTGCAGAAAAACTAAGGTAAATAGAGAGCGAGAACAACTCCTTCTCTAGCTGTGACTCACCCTGATCATATCCTCCTTGGGCTGTAGTGGTTGTAGAAAAAGAAGAGGGAGATTGCGTCAGGGTTGCATGGAGAGCTGTGATGGCACTGTCACCAAAGGGTTCTTCCTCCTTGTCATCATGCATGTGAAGGACTCATGGGAAAGAGCTCAAGAAATGGCGAACTTCACCCACACTGACATCTGTTACAAACAAAAGTCTAACAAACTACAAACAAACAAAAAGAACAATGGCAAAATCAAAAAGGTGAACTCCAATAGCCAAAGAACAGCACCCATACAAGAAAAACACTAACAGTTGGGGACATATATAAAAGCCAGAGGACATAGATAAAAGTCACAAATAGGAAATACAAGTGTGATCTGGTAGTAAGGAACAAATTAAATAGAATTAAATTAAATAGAATTGTGTTTTTTAAAACAAATGAGCTGCTCACAGTAAGAAAGAGACTATTTGCAAATCATGTCTGATAAGGTCTAATATTTGGAATATATAAGAAGCCCTTGCAACAAAAAATAAGCAACCCATTTAAAAAGCAGATAAAAGAGCTTGATAGGTATTTCTCCAAAAAAAATTTATAAATGTCTGATAGGAAAATAAAAAGATGCTTGATGTGTTAAGTCATTAGAGAAATGTAAATCAAAACTACAGTAAAATACCATTTTACACCCACTAACATGGCATAATTAAAAACAAAGACAAAACACAAAATAATGAGTGTTGACAAGCATGTGGCAAAATTGAAACCTTCATACTTTGTTAGTGAAATTGCAATATTGAGCAGTAACTGTGGAAAACAGTTGGGAAGTTCCTTAATAGGTTAAACATAGAATTACCATATGGCCCACTAGAATTGAAAACAGGTGTTCTGACAAAAAGCTCGGAGCTGCTCTACCCACAATAGTGAAAGGTAGAAACAATCCAAGTACTCATCATGCTCGTCTGAGGGTGAATGGATAAAAAAAGAGGTGTGTTCAAAATGGAACATTACAAAGCCATAAAAAGTAATTCCCATTCATGCTGCAACATGGATGAACCTTGAAAATGTTATGTAAAGGAAAAGAAGCCAGACACAAAGGTCACATGTTATATGATATCACTTATACAAAATACCCAGAATAAGCAAAACCATCCAGAGGGAAGCAGTTTACTGGTTGCTGAGGGACTAGGGGAAAAGGGGAGTACAGACAGACTCCTTAATGGGTATGAAGTTCCCTTTTGGGATGATGAAAAAGCTCTGGTCTAGGGTAATCTCTGTACTGTGAATTGTGAGTATACTTAATGCCATGGGTTTTATACTTTAAAATAGTTAAAATGGTAATACTACATCAGATGTACTTTACCATAATAAAAAAATTAATGAACTCTTATTTAGTGAAAGATTATAACCCAGTGCAGTTGAGATATTGTCTCTACACCAAAGGAGAAGGGAAATCTGGCTAAGGAGTATGTAGAGATGCTCAAACACATTAATTATCAAAGAAATACAAGTAACATAACAAAATATTACTTTATACCTATTAGACCATCAACATCAAGAAAATAGAGTGTGCTGAAAGTTATAAAAATCTTTTTTTAGTCTAACCAGACTTTGGAAGCTTTGAGCAACATTTAGACGGCTGGAGAGAGAGTGGAGACTGGTGCAGCCATAGGGACAGCTGTCCAGCAAGACGCTGTCAAATTGGGACGTGCATGCCCTATATTTCACTTCCATATATATATATGGGTATATATATGGAAAATGTTCTCATGGACCAGTAAAAGGACAAGTTCTGTGGGGGCTTGAAGAATTATGCAGCAGTTAGAAGTATTGGACTAGATGTCTACAGCAGCAGGATGAATCTTTAAAGCATAGAGTGAATTGAAAATACTTTGAAAGGAAATTAAATGCACAGAACAGTGGCATTTACATTAAAAAGAATGTACGCACCCAAATAAATGAACTTTCGGCAAGAATATATATGAACAAAAGAGCTACACTAAACTCGCAGAGTGATGGTAATGGGAAATGTGGGTGGTGAGAGGAAAGTGTGTAAACACTTGGGATGAGAATGAGTAGTAAATGCCTTACAGCTTTCTGTAGTGGTTGGACCAGTAAAACGAAAAGAAAAGAAAGAAAAAAGATGTGAAATATATATAAATTTTAAAAATAAATAAAAATAAGCAAATTTTTAAAAATGAGTAATATATACATTCCTACAAAGAGGGAAGGTTCATGAAATATAGGAATTAGTCCAGATTGTTGTCTATCAGCATATTAAAAAAAATGTAGAATAAACTATGTCAATTACATAGAAGTTATCTTCAGATCTTTTGTAAATGTATAACAAAATAGCTCTCCATTAAGATGGCAAATTACACAGAAAAAGAAAGAACAACTCATGATGAGTTCATTGTCTAAAAATGTGCACAGTAGTATATAAATAGATAAATTGGAATACAGATTTATAAATAGATATAATACAGTGCTCTGAGTGCAATCCCAGAAGTATAACTCATGTGCTGTAGGGAAATCTCTATTCCTCCAGAAGGCAACACTGAATTGCATCTAAAGGAGACCAGGTAGGCAAAGGAAATGAGTTCACTGCAGGGATGACTTGGTCATAGGCATGGAAGCTTTCAGCAGTCATCTATCCTGCCCAGATAACTCCTTGGTCAACAAGCTGCTCCTCCAGCTAGGCTTCTTTCCTGGAATAAGTCCATCTGCATTCCCAGCTGGGAAGCTGTGGCTAAAACAGGTCTAGGCTTGGTGCTGGGGTCTGTGACAGAGACCTTCCTGCCCTCCTCCAGCGAAAAGGAAGTGGCTGCTTTTTCTTTTCTTTAAGATTTATTTTTGCACACAAGAGCAGGGGGTAGGCCAAAGGTGTTGGGGTGGGGGGCAGTAAGAGGATTCGCCAGAGACAGAGAGGGGAGCAGAACAGAAGGATCTACTGAAGTGCACTACTGAGGGGAGCAGTGGGCAGGACAGGAGAGGTCTGTGGCACAATGTGGGTCAGCCACCTGGCAGGGGATGAAACTCCCGCTGCAGTGGCTGCCAATAGCTTCAGAGTGCTGAGACTTAACCCTTTGCACCACTAGGGAGGCTTGGGAGTAGATGTTTTTCTGAAGCTTTAGCAACTCACCATGTAACTTCCCTTACAGAGCTTTCTGTTTTGTCCAAAATCGAAACTGCATATCCATAGAGGAGAGATTGCAAAGATTATCCGAGAATGCCAAGAAGAAAGTTTCTGGAAGAGAGGTAACAGCACCCCTCTTCACATTCGTTAGCACTGTATTTACTGCAATAAACTGCATAAATAACAGAATTGTGGTGATGATTAATTTTTAAGCAGAAATGTTATGTAAGAAGTCCTGAAGAACTTTGAAATCTAGGGCTGTTTAGAGTTTAAATCTATGTTGAGTTCCTTTTGCAGGCAGAGATACTATGTGATCAGGGAGTTTACCTCACTTAGTAAAAAATAAGGCACACCTAACACTTTCCTTCTGTGTTCTGCTATGAGAACATATACCAAGAGTTATTTAAAATTTTTTTCAAAGAGTAGACAGATTCCTGAATTTACTCAGTTCTAACCTTGTGGAATCAGATATAATGTCACGATCATTGATTTAGCTGAGAGACCATCACAGCGCTTCACACATAGAAAATATCTATTCAATATTTTTGGAATGAATGAAAAATGGCAGTGTTCCATTAATATTCTTCTTGCAGTGTCTCTAAAATAACCTGTCCTTCCTCTTTCTAGACCTGCCTTATATAAGACATGTATGTGAATTCTTGAGACAAGGTCTCTTCCAATTAAAAAAATATATTTGTCATTTAAAGATGTCCTAGTAGAATCCATAGATATAGTTCCAATATTTTGGAACAGTGTTCATGTAGGGGTAGTTTATTCTTTGAAGTACTCATTTTGATTCCTCAAATCATTCAAATTCAGTATCAACTGTTTGGGAAGTAACACCCTTTAGAAGTTGGTATTCACTTTGTATGATTATGATTAATATTACATTGCATTACACATAAATTACATAAATGATTATTATATAAGCTGTGATTACTGATTGTGCTTCCTGTCTTTTCTGACAACCGATGAGTAATTTAATCAAACCCTACAAGATTACCATTTCAGTAAAACCTACCATCAAGTAGATATGAATGGAAAAAATCCGTTGCTATTTGACTAGTTTAGGCTGCTAGGAAGAACTACCTCTTCACTACTGCTCTCTGTTTTGGAAGAAGTCACTTGACACTCTCTGACAGAATTAGAACCTGCTTTTACCAGACTAATTTGCCTGCTTTAAAACTCATGGGCAGAGGCCTCCCCAGTACGGTCAAGTCTCAGTGCTGTCACTGCTGCAGCCTGAGTTGTAAAGATTTGTTTATTTTTGTATGGAAGTACTGGGATACAGGCCAGAGGTGCAGGGGTGAGAGGATTCACTGGAGACAGTGGGGAGTAGAACAGACAGATCTACTGAAATATACTGCTGGGGGGGGGAACAACTGGCTAGACAGGAGAAGTCTGCTGCAGCATGTGGGTCACTTCCCTAGACAGTGATGGAATTTGTGCTGCAGAGAGCTTCATAGTGCTGCACTTAAACTCATTGTGCCACCACGGAGGGCCCCCTAAATAAATAAATCTTTAAAAGGAAAAAAATATCATAGGTAAACATCACTCACGTTTAGCATGAACATGATAATTTAGTAATCTTTGAAAAATAGACATGTCAAAATTGTAGAATAAAATACTATGAAAGAAAGAAGCAGGGAACTATATTACATACAATGTGCAGATGTTTACTTGTACTTTTTTTGAACTTTGATAAAAGATTGAAAATTTTAATGTACATTTAATGTAAAACCCCCCCAAACCCCAACATCTTCAGTTTTGACCTCCTGCCACTTCCATTACCCAGGATCAACTGTAGATAAAAATACATACAATAAGAGATTTTGAGAGAAGAGAGATCACATTCACGTAACATTTTTTTTTAAATTTATTTATTTGGCACAATGTGGGTCAGCCACCTGGCAGGGGATGAAACTCCCGCTGCTGCAGTGGCTGCCAATAGCTTCAGAGTGCTGAGACTTAACCCTTTGCACCACTAGGGAGGCTTGGGAGTAGATGTTTTTCTGAAGCTTTAGCA